TGAAATTTCTCGACTAAAACTTCACCTAAATTAGGGTTTCCCAAACCCTGCAATATTCACATTTTAGACTGGATAGTTATTTGTTGCGGGGGACTGTCCTACACATTGTAGGATGTTTAGTAGCATCCTTAGGCTCTGCCCACTAGATGTGGGTAGCACCTCTCCACTCCCCAGTCATGACAACCAAAAATGTCTCCAGACATTGCCACATGTCCCCAGGGGGCCAAAATTGCCCTAGGTGTGAACCATTAGCCTAAATCAATTCCTGTAGAAAACTACACTCAATGAGAGAGCCTAAATCATGCCTTTTTGTTGTATCAATAGTCCCGGGCTTTCCTCAGCTTCATAAGATAAAAAGAGGAGACAAAAAGGTGCCTTTTCTTCATTCTCAGTTTTGGGAGAAATGAGAGCTAGACCTAACGGCATTTCCCACATCTGCCACCTGTGAGCTCCTGGTTGTAGTGAGCCCCATCTCTTGCAGAAGACTTAGGATAGAAATGGGAATATGGAGTAACTAGTTATCCTCTTAAATTTATTTTGAGGCTAAAAAAGAAAGTATGTGAAACAATCAAATGTTTTAGTGTCCCACAATCTCAACACTGCCCTGTAGCAGGGTTTTGCAAACATTTTTAGTTGAAGATCTGTGAGTCCTCTGAGAAAGCTAGGGTTGGACCAGAAAATCACAGCATAGTTTGAAAGAAACTTCTTTGAAGCATTATGAGAGATTGGCCCCATCGGGGAGCTTACACATTTATTAAAAATGATTAAAAGCAGGGGAGCTCTGGCTGAGCTGTGCTATAAAGGATGTGTTCCCTGCGGGGAATTTCTTCTCCAACATCCCTCTTCCCTACCCTAACAGATCACGACCCACCTTTTTTTGAGTAATCCTCTTTTTTCAAGCTGTGGTACCCAAAAATAAATGGGGCCTTGTACTGTGTGAAGCCACAAGATAAACAAGACACATCTTCACAGGACAGCAGTTTTACTTGAGAGTACGTAAGAGTTTTACGGTAATACAAGGGTAAGTGTTAGAGAGTAAAGGACAGTTTTCAAGGATAAAATCAGGTTTTTGAGTCAGGCCACTTTATGAAACATTCCTGCAGGAGTAGGAGTCGGAAGAGTTTGAGAAGCAAATGATGAGGCCCTCACTCCAACTGAGCCTGTTCTCCTTTGTTGAATAGCTTTAGTTGTTACCAAGTCTTTTCTTAATATTGAACAAAAGACACTGCTCTTAAATGACCATCAGTATAAGTTAACTCTTCTTGATTCAGAGTAGACTTTCTGTTAATCCCGGAGAGCAGAAGAGACAGATCCATTTTTATCAGCTCCCTTCCTCAAACTGAGCACTCCACGCATTTCAGCCGTCCTGACTATAAAGTTGTTCCTGGACCTGGGTCCTGGCAGCTTCATGCATCCCAAGGACCCCAAGAGTAGAGTGTGGTGTGACTGCTTTCTGGGTACAGTGGAATGGGAACATGCCATTATCTGGACACACGCTTCTATTACTGTGGAAGAGATTTGTTTCATCTATTTTACCAGCTTCATCATAATTAGATTTATGATCAAGTAACAGCCTTAGCTCCCTTTGTCATCAGCTCTCTTTGACCCAGTAGTTAGGCATTGACACTTTCAAACCTAAACAGAAGACTTTATAAATGTCATATTATTGATTTAAGCACAATTTCCCTCATAATAAGAGTCTGTTATCTATATGTATTCTTTTCATGTCTTCAGTCTTTTATAAATAAGAGTTTTGACTAACTCTCTAGAAACATTCAGTTATGTTTCTTGAGCACCCTACCCCATGCCAGGTACTGTGCTAGGGCGCAGGATACTTACATATGGGAATAAAAGTAACAGAAAAGTTACAACAAATGTTAGAAAAAAAGAGGTATAATTATAGAGGGAATTAGCCTAGTTAGGAAGGTCATAATCAGGCTGGCAGTGAACCAGCCCCTGGTCTGGGCACTTTAGAAGCACCAGCTCACTCCTCTCAACTCTAAGAAGGTTCCGTCATCAGGCTAAGTTTCCCAACATCACACAGCTGATGGAGGTGAAGAAAAAACAGGCGTTAACTGTGCAGATTCACTGGAAAGGCTTTCTGGCAGAGGAAACTACGTACAAAGGCCATGTAGGAAGCACCATGGGGCATTCAGGGGAGTGAAAGAAAGCAAGTATAGCTAAAGCAAAGATGATAATGGGGAGAAGGATTTCTAGGGGCAGAGGAGGAGCTGAAGAGACAGGAGGGGCCAGATGCCACAGCCTGGTCAGTCATGTCAAGGATTTTAGTATTCTACAAGCAGTGGTAAAACATTGTCATCAGACAAGAGTGGTGATAGAAGACCTGTGTCTAATAACAATCACTGGCTGGTAAGGGAAGGACAGGAAATGTACTTTGGCTTTAGCGATGTGTAGAGGTCACATTAGTGAGAGTGAAGCACTGAGGCAAGAGATGGTGAACAGCTTGGTCCATGAAATGGATGCAAACAAAAGATACTTGGCAGCTAAAACAGACGGGAGTTAGTGATGACTTGAATCTGGAGTTTGGGGAGAGGGAAGTATTGAGGATGAATTCTAGGTTTCTGGATTGTAGTAACTAGTGAATGGAAGTAACGTGTAATAGGGAATGCTAGAAGAGACTCAGGCGTAGGGAGTAGAAGGTAATGAGTTCAGTTTGGGCTGTGTTGAGTTGAGAAATGCAGATGGCTGTCAAGTAGGACAGTTGGAAATACTGGTCTGAAGCTCAGAGAAAAGGGCCAGGCTAGAGATTTAAATCTTTTGCCTATTTTAGTGGCTATGAAAGCAGGATGAGACTGCCTGGGTCCAGCATTTGGAGTGAGACAGGGCTTAGGGCTGAGTGTTGTGGAGTTCCAACATTCGATTGGCGTATCATGAAGGATGACCTTGCAAAGGAAGCAGAAGGTATGGCTAGGGAGGTAGGAAGAAAACCCTGTATGTTTTCTCAGAAAACCAAAGGAAAAGAGACTTCAGTGTCCAGTGATGGTGTTGAGAGGTCAAGTGAGGTAAGGACAGGAAATGTCCTTCAGGTTAGTGATGCGGAGCTTTCACCTCAGTGACAGCTGTATCACTACCATAATGAGGGCGGAAACTAGAATAGGAAGGACTGAGAAGCAGGGGCAGAATATGAAGACAGTAAACCTGTCTTCAGTTTCTTAGGTTTTTATTTTGTTCTGAAGGGGAGAGGGGAAGGAGGGTAGTCACTAAAGGATTATGCAGGGAAATTGGTGGGGGAAATCCAGTTGAGAAAGACGTTGAATATACAAGAGAAGAGTGAGCATCAATTTTCTGAGTTACAGGAGAGAATCCAAAGCATGGGTGGAAGGATTGGCCCTACTCACTCCTTTTGTCAGCACTTGTTTAATTAAACAACTAGTATATGCCAAACTCTGTGCCAGGCACACAGCAGCAAACCCGCCAGACATAACACCCAGCCTTGTGGAGCTTAGATTCTAGTGGCAAGAGGCTGGCAGTAACTGTAAATAAATAAGATCGTTTCATGTGGTGTTAGCTGATATATAAAAAACGATACAGGGAGTAACTATGGAAGAAAGTTTTTGTACTTGTGTTCAGTGTTAGAAATCATTTTTTTAATTGTGATAAAATACACATAAAGTTTACCATCTTAAGTATTTTTAAGTATATAGTTAGTCATGTTAAGTATATTCACATTGTTGTGTAGCCACGCTCCAGAACTTTTTCATCTTGCAAAATTGATACTCTGTAGCCATTAAACTCCTTTTTCTGTCCTCCCCTTCAGCACCTGGCAACCACCATTTTATTTTCTGTCTCTAGAAATATGACTACTTTAGATACCTTGTATCAGTGGAATCAGTATTTGTCTTTTTGTGACTGGCTTACTTCATTTGGCATGCATGTCCTCAAGGTTCATCCATGTGGTAGCATGTAACAAGATCTCCTTACTTTCTATGGCTGAATAATATTCCATTGTATATATAGACCACATTTAAGATAATAATTTTTTAGCAACAATACCCTAGTGATACTTTAGTATAAGTATATATTTAAAAATTAATTCATTTTTTATCTGAAATTCAAATGTATCTGGGAATCTTGCATTTTATCCAGTTACCAAAATTGAAAACACAGGCTTAGTCAATAAGGGTTACAATCTTTTTTAACTGATTCCTTTCTCCAGTGCTAAGTCTCTAGGTAACAGAGGCTTAAAGAAGCTCCAGAGACTGGGGTGGGGGGAGGGGCGGGGTTAAAAGCAAATAAAAAGATTCTAGCAAAAGGAGAGAGAAAAGGTTGACGTGGTCGGGATAGAGTGCCACTATATTAAAGAAAAGCTATTGTTGCCTATTAAGACGTCAGAGTGCAGGGTCAAAAAGCAAAGGCCTTGAGGACACCCGTCATGGGTTCTGGCCTGAGACCAATCACTGAGAGTCCGTGGGCGAGTTACTCGACCTATCTGAGCCTGCTTTCACATTTGTAAAATAGGAAAACACAGCGCCCTGCTAGGGTTGTCGTGAAATTAGATAAGGTGGGCAAAAGCTTCTAGTGCCCAGCCAGCATGACTTATCGCTCCTCTTTCCCATACTTTTACTGCTTTTCTGGATTTTTAAGAAATAGGGTCAGAGTAAGCCACAAGGGCTTTAAAAAGCCTGCTGGTGGCTGAAAACACCCTTGGCCGTCACCTCTCCTGCAAGACTAGAAAGGACCTAGTTAGAAACTTTTGTCCTTAAAATTCTCCCCAGTCCATTGGCAAAATTTCTCCCATTTGGACTTCACGTTGTGGCGTAAGGTTTTGAACCGTGTTAAAAATCAAGCCTCATCAAAAGGTGTGGCCCTCTGATCGGTCCTTTGGGCTTGGTCTGGGAACATGTTTGCACAACCCGACTCCAGAAAACCCGGGGATTCAGCGTGCTGGCAGGAGGCGAGGCGGGAGCGGAAGCCGCTCCGGCCCCGCCCCGGCCGCCCGGGCAGCCCCGCCCCCTCCCGCCAGGCCCCGCCTCCCCCTCCCCCGCTCCGCCGCGCTTTTTCTGGGCGGGCTCTCCTCTCCTGGCCTGAGAATTGGCAGCCACACTGGAGCCGGCTGTATGGACACGGGCTGGGAGCCGGGGGCGGTGGGCGCCTCGCTGCTGCTGTGCGCCGCGCTGCTGGGGGCGGGCTGCGCGTTGGGCCTGCGCCTGGGCCGCGGGCGGGGGGCGGCGGACCGCGGGGCGCTCGCCTGGCTCTGCTACGACGCCCTGGTGCACTTCGCACTGGTAAGTGCAGTCGCCCCGGGCCCCCCAAACGCCGGCGGAGCCCGCCTCCCTCGGGATCCTTCCCTCCCGCTCCCCAGGGAGTTTCCTGGAAAGCACGGGGACGAGTTGGCCGCCCCATCCCCTACGGCGGGAAGCCCGCGGAGCCCGGGAGGTACCTGGAGGCCGTGGTACTCGAGGCCTTGTGGCCGGTTGCGGCACCTCTCGGAGTTCCCGACTCTACAGAGAGCACAGCTTCCCCAGTGGTGCCAATTCCTCTAGCAAACAAAAAACAGAACCCCCTGAAAGTTGTTATTTCTGTACCGTGTTATGTTGGTGTGATTTTAAGCTACTCAAAGCCTTTGGCTTGCTTAACTTTGGAACCTGCACATAAATGTTGAACCGAAAATAATTGGGAGTGAGGTCGTTTCTGAGGGCTCCAGAGGAGCGGGCAGAGGTGATGCGGCCGCGTGGAGTCCGAGGACCGAGGCCTGCTCCCAGACAGAAGAACCCGCGTGCCTTATCACCGTTATTGAGTAATTGCTGTGTGCAGACACACTACTGTGTTTAAAATTTCTGATCTTTACAGCATCCTATAAACTAGTTATTGTCCCTATTTTCCAAGGAGAAAACAGGCCCTGCGAAGTTAGGTGACTTGACAATGCCACACAGCTGACATGCTGGAGTTAATTTGTTGTGGCTTCTTTACATGGCGCCAAGCTTTAGGAAACTCGTCCCTAAAAGTTCAAGCCACTTTATAAATAGCCAGGAGGGTTGTATTTAAGGGAATTCTATTGAAATGCTCACCCCCTCCCCCCCCCACCCCGGCACACACATGCACTCACACTTTTTCTAAAAGTTTTTAAAACTATGACAAAATATCTTTTTTGTAACTTTGACCTCGCTTAAATCTAGACCAACCTGTGGCTCATGTGAAGCTAAAGGCTATGGCATTGAGAAAGAAAAAGCAAAGTTCAGTAATCAGTCAGGTCTGTATGTTTTTATCACTTGTATATGTGCACACACCAGATGTTGCTGGAATGATGAAATTCCCTCTTTCCTAATAATTAACTTGTGGAGGTAAGAGACAGTAAATATTTCCCTCAACTGCTTTATTTATAGAATTGATTTTTAAGTTATCATTGAACAAGGTCTCTCAAAAAAACAGGCAGCAAAACAGGTCGCTAAGCCCACTTAAAGAAAAATGTATTATAATTTTAGACATACAGAAAAGGTATAAAAATACTAAAACATATACCCATATGTCCACCACCTAGTATAAAATTGTCTACTTTTCAAGCACAGACTCTTACAGGTTACACCACACGTGGCACCCTGATGGGTATCCCGATGTCTGGCATCTTTGCTCCGCTCTCCCCTCTTCCTGTTCTGAAGGAAATGTCCTCCACACCACCCGCCCTGTGCCATTTACCTGTGCCAGCTGTGAAATGTTCCACTGTCTGAATGCACCATACCTTAGTTCTTCAATTCTGATGTGCACATTTTTCCACATATTCAGACAATCAATGATGAACCACTGTGGACCATTTTATTGATATTTGATCTGAAATTGGGATGTATCTTACAGTTGATGATGAAATATGGTATTTAACCAGCCCATGTTAATGGGCATGTCTTTATTTTACTGTTTATACTTAATGCTTCAAGCAGCATCTTTGTATACGTATCTTAGAGATGGATGAGGAGGGTGCTCGAATGTGGTTATGTGGTTGAGGCCTGCAAGAAAAATGCAGACCCATATTATCTTTGGTTGGGAGTTTATTACAAGAATATCCAGAAATGTGGCACGAGCTAAGACTGGAACGTAACGCCTCCGAGAGAACTAAAACCACAACTCCCGTGTTCATACCAGAACCTGAGCTGCCCCTCCTTCCCCCTTTAAACTTGACCTCTCAAATGGGAGGAGAGGTTTGGATTTGTCGGTCACCATCAACACAGAGCTCTCCTGTTGAACAGGGTTTCAAGCCAGGCATTCCCAGAGGGAGGTCAGCATCCTGATGTCCAACCAGAATGTAGTTACCTGGGCTGCAGTTCAGTTCAGTTGGTTATGGCTAGGATGAAGGAAGGGCAGGCTGACTTCCCAGCAGTGCACCCGGCGGGAGCCATGGCAACAGACATAAAGAAATCAGTGGTTTGACTCACCAGGCTCAAAGGTTGCTCTGGGTGGTCGTGCAGTGGTGCTTCGAGGATGTTCCCTCATCTGCCATCTAAGTGCAGCATTCTGGGCACGGCCAGAGCATGGAGGCAGAATGTTTGCCTCCATTTGGGAACCATCTTGAGGTCCATATTGACTAGAGCACAGAGTTCACCTTGGGAAGAAGTGAGGGGACAGGCTGGAGAGGGAGCTTGGATGACAAGACTTGGATTCTGCAGTAGGAAGCCGTTGAAGGATTTCAGGCAAGGAAGTAGCATGGCCAACGCAGATCTTCGGAAAGATAAGTTGGTGGTGATGTGTGAGGTCAGAAACTGAAGGGTCTGAGATTTTACCCTTCTTACAAGTTAACAGGTTAGCTTGGTTGATCCCCAAACCTCACAGGGCAAGGCAGTGAAGGCCAGATAGTACCCGCACATGCCCTGGGGACGTTACAGGAGAGGAACCCCCAGTTAGGCTCCCATCTTCTATGGTGACCTGCTCATGCTTCTCTCTGGAGAGAGACCTTATCTTTACTCAGGAGTGTAAACAAATCTCTGGAGAGGAGGAGCCCAGGTCTTTATCTCCACTACCCTGGAACATCTCAGGAGGGAGAGGCTTCTATGTTTTACTCCCCTGAATGTCTCCTTATATAAATATTCTTAAATCGGTGTAAATGCCTGTGCTCAGAGACCCCAGACGTTGCAGGAGGATGAGGTATTCATGGAGAATTCTCTCCCAGTTTGGTGCAGGGTGGATTGGAAAGGATCGTAAAGGGGCAAGAAGATCAGCTAAAAGCACTTGCAGTGTTTTAGGAGTGAGCTGAAAAAGCTGAGCTAGGGTGGCATTGGAGGTTAAAATGGGAGGAAAGCCAAGTACGAGAGGCTTTCCAGGGGAGAATGTACAGGTCAAAGTGACCGATTGTACATCCGGGGTGGAGATGATCTTGGGGTGTAGAAACTGGCTGACGCGGGGGATGGTGACAACGTTAACAAAGACAGGAAAGTGAGATTTTAGAGCTATGAATCTGGGGTTCTGGTGTGTAGTTGAGAGGAAATGGCGAGAAGGCAATCAAAAATGTAAGGCAAGTTGAAGAGAGAGGGCAGACTAAAGAGAGTCGGAAGTTCTTTACCGTGCTGGAGGAGACAGTGGGAAGCCCTGGGGACGAGTGATTTTTCTGAGCAAGAGAGAATAGAAAGGTGAAAACGCTGAGGAAGGAGAGCAGAATCTTTTAAAAATGTGTGTACTGAACAGTCAGGATGGGGAGAAAGTGGGCAAGACCAAGAACCAGGGTCGTGCTGGCTCCTGGGACCCCAGGGAGGGAAGTTCGAGATCACAGTAAAGTGCTGCAGCACCGTTGAAAAAGAAAAAGAAAAAGGTGAGGGCTGGGCGGGAGCCTCTGGGTCCAGCAATCGGAAGTCCTTGGTAGAGTGGTTTTGTCTGAATAGAGGCGCCAGAAGCTGAAGGCAAGGGCGTAGCAGATGGGGTAGAGAAGAAATGGAGGCAGCATGTGCAAGACCGAGAGAGAGTTGGTGGTGGGAGGAAGGAGAGTGGAGGAAGGTAGCTCAAGAGACATGGCAGGGTCAGGCAGCGGACTCTGGGTTCTGTTTAAGGGGGGAAGGTCTGAGTGCATCTGTGAGCAGGAATGTGATGCAGGGAACAGAGAAGGTGCAGACACGTGTGCTGGGCAGCCCCTGCTGTCTGCTGCCGCGTGAATAGACGTCCGGGAGAGCTGCATCTGCTTGAATCTACCGCTGTCCTCTGATCAAGGCCCTCTGACTCGTCACTCGCACTTTTGACTCCCACTGTGACTCGTCACTGTGGAGCTCGGCTTAGGCTCATCCTTCAGGGTGAAACCTGGGCGTCAGTTGTGTCTCCATTCATTCTACACGAACGCCCAGGGGTCGTCTTTCTTTAAGAAATCCTGAGGCCCCGTGGCTGCTTAAGTCCTTATTAATTTGGATATTGGGGGCATTACCCTTTTCCATTTAACGTCACCATGAGTTCCTCCCCTTCTGCTACAATGCTTTTCAGCCTCCCGTCTTAGAACTTTCTAAAAATTTCTTCCTCCTACTACTTGCTTTATCATTAGGTCTGACGTCGCCTCTTAATTCACAGTCTGTTGCTGTCTCCTGTTTCCTCTTTCCTTTTTTGGTGGTGTTGTCTTCATCAGTTTTGCCCTAAGATAGATGTCCTGTTTGGTAAATGAATTCATCGTCCTCATGCTATTTGGCAGATGTGGTGAAGCACAGTTGGTTTAGGTGTATATTAATGGTAAAACTTTGTGCTCGTTAATTTTATGTGTCAACTTGACTGGGCCGGGGGATGCCCAGATATTTGGTCAAACATTATTCTGGGTGTTACGGTGAGGGCGTTTTTGGATGAGATTAAGACTTAAATTGGTAGACTGAGTAAAGCAGGTTGCCCTCCCTGGTGTGGGTGAGCCTCATCCTATCAGTAGAAGGTCTGAATAGAACGAAAAGGCTGGTCTTCCCTTGATTCCGTGAGAATCCCTTCCGCCTGACATCCTTCAAATAAGAACATTGGCTTTTTCCTGCCTTCAGTCCTGAACTGAGACAGTGGCTTTTCCTGCATCTCAAGCCTGCTGGCCTTTAGACTACAACCACACCATTGCTTCTTGTGGTTCTCAGGCCCCGCACTGGGGCTGGAACTACACCATCAGCTCATCTGGGTCTCCAGCTTGCTGATTCACCCTGCAGATCACGGGACTTGTCAGCCTCCATAATCACAGCCAATTCCTTATGATAAATCTCCTGATAGGTGGGTATTTATAAATAGATATAGATGCATATATACACGTATATATCTCTATACATATATAGGCATAGATATGGATAAATATATAGATGTG